CAATCAGATATAATGTCCTCAGATGAGGCTATATTTAATGCCCGCTATCTTGAGGTGTCCCACTGTGTGGTGGTGGTATCTAGTAGGAGGGGCACCTCATATCAGGTTCCGTGGCCGTCATTCATCCCTCTGCTCAGGGTTTGCACCACCAGCATATTGTCCCTAATCTCAGTGCATCTGTTGCCTCACAAAGCCCCATTAAACAGCCAGACCACTCTGATAAGGTTACTGACTTAATGCTCAGTGACATAATTAAATTGAGTATTTAATCTGGCCATGGGAGTGGAGGAGCCCTCAACCCCTGCCGGGCAAGCCCAGCGTTCACATGTTGAACCTCGGCTGCCATTGCAGATAACTTGGACTTTGATCTCCTTTGGGGTGATTGTGCTGTCAAATGGGAAAGATAAAAACTGGTTAAGGAGAATGTTCACTGGTTACAGAGAATGTTCAGCTGACTTCACCCGTTTTCTGGACAATATTAATCAAATCAGAAAATGGCATGAATTGAGATTCAGTGATACTAAAGGTGGAAAGGCTGGGTTATTCTTAAAAAGTGAAACAAATTTATATTCTATTATATATTATATTTATAGCTGTTAGAAAGGTCCTCAGTCGATGGCGGGGCAAAAAGCTCATGTGTGTTCCATCCAAATGTTTCACAAATTTTAACCCGATTTTGAGTAATTCCACGAAAGAAAACACTACGGTTATTCCACTAATTAGCTTTGGTTGACTCTTGGAACTGTGGTGCTCTCCAGCAAACCAGCCTGCATTTCCACAAGTTTCGAGCAGAACCATTGTAATCGGAAGAGTCATCAACAGAGGGTGCTGCACAATACGGAACAACCTGTACAATATCAAATACCCACTTTCGTCCCAAAGGAAAACCTGCCAACTTCCCAACTTCAAATTCACTTTTTGGATTGTGAACCTATTTATTTTTGATTGAAACACTCAAGGGTGCACGAAGCAGACCAAAGCCAGTTCTCTGTTGGTGGGAAAGGCCTAACTCTCACCTTAACACATCAAGACAATCCATGGCAATCCAATCCAAGCAGTTCTGCTTGTCGGATACGGGTCCAATAGCTTGGAAAACCCCCTGCCCCCATACCTTTCTGACATCAGAATTGGGGGAAAACAACATTCCAACATTCACAGCCCTTCAGCCCCTATTTTTTTCGATTCTTTACATAACTATTTGTCATTTTTCACATTCTAGTGCAACAGTTTAAGTGCCCAGGAGAAACCATATTCAAACAATATCACATCTCGGCTGTCTATGTAAAGGCTGGCTCTTCACCTCACCTTACAGTACTATTCTCTACACCACATCTGACTTGGCGCCTTGCGGTGACAGCTCTGACCTGACAATGTTCACAGATACTTTGACAAAAGCCAAGATGATGAGCAAGCGCCATCACCAGCCAGTTGCAGTTTATCAAACCCTCGGCCCATCCTTGACGTCCCCTCACCTGTTCATTACCAGAATGACAGCATAAATGTCACAGCAGGTGCTAAGCAAGACAAATCAGAGTGTTCCCTTATGGTCTCAGACAGCGTTCGTCCTTGTAGCTTCACTTTGGCTGGTGGCGCTGGTTGAGTAACGTTTGCATTAAGGGAATTTGTTTGGTTGGTTAACAGGGTAGTGACGAAAGGCTTCGACACCACATGCTCCCTGCAGTCCCTCCAGCTGCCAGACACGGAAAACAAGAGAAGTCGACACCCAACCCCCTTCACCTTTTGACCTTTGGCACCTTGACTGTGAAAGGATTTGTGAGGTGAATCCTGTTTGATGGAGAAGCACTTTATCACCCCTGCTGTCACAATCTGTAAAGCATCGGTAAAGATGCTACTTATTAGTGACGTGAAATAAACTCCATATAAGAAATCTGTTTAGAAGAATATTGAGAAATCAGCTAATTAAAGTGCAGCTTTTGAACTCTTCGCCACTAATACAACACAACAGAATTCACCTTTACTTCATCATTTTCCTTGGAAAACCAGACATTTTTTTGTAGACTGGAATGACTGAAACAAATAGTCCTCTTCATTTATCTGGCACCCTTTTAAAATTCTATTTCTTTCCACCTCAGGTCACTGTGGGTCAAGCCGTTAAAAGGTCAAATGCGCTCACCATAATGACGGCATTTACACACTGGGTCAAAGATCATTTTACAAGTCCAGACAGCACTGGGTCCTGGTGTCTGACTTTATCCAGGTACAAGTACAAGAAGGTGCTGGCTACTAGTTCGGCTAATGAACATTCCCTTCGGTGGCAATGAAAACATGTGCTCCACTTAAATCTCTGAGACTCCACTTAAACATCATCTCTGACTGCGTACACTCATAGCCACACATGAACCACAGTTTTGACTTGAGGAAGCAATGGGAACCTTTACTTGTCACACATGACCAATTTTCAGTAGCTACAGCCTCTCTTTATTTTTGAAAAGCTGCAATTTAAAAACCATACATTGCATTAATGGTGTGTTTTATCAAAAAAAACAATAAATGTGAAAACCAGAAAAATTGGTTTTCATTTTAAAGTGCAGACAATCATGTGAGCGTGCACAGGAACAAGCAGGCACAATGTCTGGGCACATCCTAGATTTCCCAATGCTACCGACAATCCAAAATAAATGAGCAATCATCATCATCATCATCATCATCATTGGGAGGGGATATTCTATCTCATTTCCTGGCTTATACTAAGCCTTCAATTCTGTTATGAGGCAATAGGAGCAGATGGTCGTGCTTTAAGAAGGCACTAAACTGTGAAAGGAGACCATCACCCATGGGACACAAAAACACGGAGGTCATACACTCTCACTGGCAGCCGCCCTGATGGACTGTCAGCCATGACACTTGTAACCAAGTGTATATTGATAAACACAAAGAAATACCGCTATGATACTGTGTTAAGAAAATAACGTGAAGACCAGCATCTGACCTCTGACCTTAAAGAGTGTCATTGTTAGCCACAGCACTAATCTCTCCTGGTGATTTCTGGTTGCTTATAGTAACACTGTCTTTACATGCAGTTACATTTATAAGAAGGTGGTGCGTTTGATGGTAAAATTGTTACATATCCCCTCCAGATGTATTAAGACATATATACAAATAGTCTTGGAACAGTAATGTGTGTCTGATATGTTTCTTCCCACAAAGAAGTATAATTTCCACATTAAAAAATAATCCTTCTACCTCATTAAAATCCCAGAATCTATGAATATGCTAAGTGTGTTCATTTCTATAGTTTTCCTGCTAGACAAAAGATGTCTCCTGCTTCACTGTAAAGTCCATTCTCCGTGGATGGAAACAAGAAAAACATATTTTTGAGAGGATGGTAAGCAATGCTTTACTGGAAGAATAATCATCCTTGATTGGAATACAGCACTAAATGCACATAAATCTTGCTAAATAAAATATTTCCTAAGATGTGATGAAGTTATGTGACACATTTCTTTGGTCTTCAATACATAGCACTGTTTGTGTCACGAACAGAATATCAACAATGACCAATTATGTATTTTATTATTATGTGTGGACAAACAAATACTCAACGAAATTAAAAAAAAAAAAGACTTTTTTTTTATGAGTTATTAAGCTTGTCTGGCAAATTCGGCACACACAAAACAGAAATAAGGACATATTTGGATTAAAAACTACTTTTTTAGAACTTGCTGACCTGTTACAATCCTCACTCACATGGTAAATGGTGGCACACAATTAGCAACAAACGCTGGTAAAATATGCAAGTGGCGTTAGATGTTAAGAGTCTGCCTCACTCACCAGCCAAAGAAAACAATGGTAATCTAATCAGTGGCTGATTAAATTTAATTTAATTTGCACCCTGGTAATGGGTGTTATAGTGACTAAATGTGACTACTTTTAAAATCCAGCTGTTTTTGGTTAGAGAAAAACATGTAAGAAGTAAATATCTATCAGACTGATGGCCCTGAGGTAACATTAAAGTCCCCCTCCCGTCAGAAATCAGTGTTTCTCCTTGTTCCTACAGTGTGCTGTTTGAATGCTGTCTGTGCAGAGTTTGACTCTAGAAGGATGTTTTACACATTCATCTGCTGAAAGTAGAAAGTTTCTCTGTGCTCATTGAACATCAGATTTTAAGGGGCGGGGCCTACCAGCATGATTTGTGACATCACAAATAGTTAGGAAGTCAGTCCTGGTCCAGTATCAACTTGTACAGTGTGATGTAGAAACTTGAAGCCACCAGTGCACATCCACTGAGAATGGACTTTACAGTGAAGGAGGAGACATCTTGTGTCCAGCAGGGAAACTTTAGAAATCAACAACATTTGCATATTCAGAGATTCTGGAAGTTTTAATGAGGTAGAAGGAGGAGATTGATTTTTAAAGGATTTTATTTCAGAAATAAATGTTTTTGTGTGGAAAAAACCTACCAGACACACACTATTGTTCCAGTAGAGCTGTCTGGAGGGGGTCTTTAAGCTTGCTGCTTCCTCATTGTGTTGTTGAATTTTGACACTTTGTCAGCCCTCGTCAGTACTGGACATTCAGCTTTTATCACTTTGCATTAAGTTACAGCTAAATGCTGGTGACACCTTATTCTAAATACTGAACATTAGCGCTAGTGCCTTGGTGGAGACGACGCCGACGCCTAAAGGATGGGGATTGGATAAGTTAGCTAACTCCTGTGAAGCACTGTTTACCAGTTATTGCGCTTTAATGGGCTAACTTGGCGTTAGCTAGTGTGGCTAATAAAAGTTAATAAGCAAAAGCCTGAATGAAAACAAAGTGAGTAAGGGTTAAAGTATTCAGAAAATATGTTTAAAGTAAGAAGCTGTTCAAATGACGTTAGGACCTAGTTGATATTGCCATTCTCAAAACAGAAGCTCGGTCATAAAGGGGGGAAAAAAAGTGGGGAAATCATACGCAGTTCAAATTTTAAGTGAGATAAATATGAGCAAGAGTGTATGCGCCGAGTAGAGGCGGACTACACAGCCCACAGTGCCACTCACCTGGCCCCAGTGTACAACTCCTCAGTCACTGGCTCCAAACGCTGGTCTTCTCCTCGTTACTGCGAACTTTTCACCGCTTTCACTGAGTGTATCCAATTTGTCGGCAACCGCAGACACATTAGCCGAGACTGATAACGTTAATTCTCGAGGTTACGAGATCACAAATTCCACTGTCGTTCAGTCCAGACTTGCTAAATTTCCTCCCGGGCATCCAACTTTCACTAGTTCACACAGCTACCTAACGCCTTGGCGGGGAAAATGAGCGCAGTTATTCCATGCAGTAAAAAGTAATGCTTGGTTTTGTTTGTGAGCTCTGCTGGGTTTCACTCAGCAGGTTTCCTCTCCCACATGTAGCCGGTAAGTAGTGGTGGGAACGGTTCGGTGCTCTCCACAGGCGTAAAAAGGGGTTTGGCAAAGGGGGATATATCATGCTGCCTTCATGTGCCCCTCGTATTTTCTACAACCAATGTTGATAGTAGAGTAGGTACTCTTTTAGAAAAATAAGTCTCATTTGTGGTACTAAAATGAATAGACCATTGAATTAATCTTATTTTGAAACAGTGGTGCATAGATAGATAAATAAGGATAAAATAAATACAATACAAATACAACATGAGAGACTATACTCAGGTATAAAGGGTTACTGACTGTTATGGTTGGTAAACATGAGCATTTACGGAACATAATGTCATGTCATATTTAGGTTTTCACTGTGGTGTTGTTTATGTGTGCTGCAGCGTCCAATATTTCCTCCAGTGTGTGAAGGCAGCATTAGCTGCTGGAGAAATGACTGGTGCATGACAGACCCCTTCTGGCCAACTGGAGACATGCAGCCCATCCAGCTGTCATGGCTTGGTCCACAAAGTTTGTCACTTCACAGACCTCCATTTAAATGAACATGCTTAACAGCAATAACTTTATTTATTAAGAGAAACAACATTGATGACTGGTTTGGATGCTGAAAGCTATGATATAGATCAATGGATTTAAGTGTATTTGACATTATCTCTCTCAAGGATCCCTGGTGATGCACGCCCCCACTATAAAGACAACTTTTAAAATCAGGTTTCCCTGGCTCCTCCTAGTGCTCCTAATGACATTTGTAATACAGTAAACATTTCATCAACAGTCATTTCCTTGCTATATTCAAACAAGCACCAGTCTTCAGCTATATTGAAGCATGAAACAAGCATTCATTAAGCTGGTATGACTGAGGCTATAAATATTTCCTGTGCTCGATGATATTCAGAGTCCACTCCTCATCTGCCCCTCAGCTTACAGGGGACATGTTACGCTCTGAGACATCACACGCATATCAATGGGGACCACACAGAGATCACAAAACCCACTGCACACATTTACGAAGGGTCTCTCTCTCTCTCTCCCTCTTGTGTAACCAAGCCTTTTATCTCCCCTCTGTTAATTCTCCGGTAATAAGGACTGAAGCTAGATAAGCTACACTCACTTCAGAGACCACTCAGCTGCAACCCCAATCCACTCCTTAAAAACCCACCCCCCTAACAAGACAACAGTGGCATCTAATTTGCTGTTTGACAACTGTTTTGTCAGTTTGTTGAAAGAAATTATGAAATGTTAATCAATTTCACCAAAATGACACTATCTATTTGGTGGAAAAAATCTTCTTCTCAATTTGTTGTGGGGAAACAAACATATTGTAGTCCTTTTTTCCAAGACAAGAGCACCCAACTGAAATCTATAGTCCAGGAGAATCATGCCAGTTTTTTTCTTATGAAGTCTTCAGTGAGGTGCTGCTCCACCCGAGCCTCCAGAAAAGCTTCAGTGCTCCCTGGCATCGATTCTCTTCTTCGTCTGTGGAGCCCTGCTGGAGGGTGGAACAGCATTCTTCCAAAAGACAAGCCCTCTCTCAAGGATGGTGCCAGAGAGTGCTGTCTGACACACAGGTCCAAAAAGGTGTTTAGCTGGGTTGAGATCTGGTGGTACATGAGTCACATCATTTTCATCTTCATCAAACCATTCAGTTAGACCTTGTGCCTCGTGATTTTGACCAAACATCTTGCAAGTACATGACAGTTTTTATTAGGGCTGTGTATTGGCAGGAATCTGGCAATACGATACATATCACGATACAGGGGTTGCATCCAATATATTTGTGTGGATGTGTGTGCACGTTTCTCAGCACAGTCCTGTATTCAGAGAAGGGTGACACAGACGTGAGTTTGAAAAGTGGAAAAGCGGAGTGTGAATGAGCATGCCTGTCTTTTAGGAGCAACACACTGTATTCATGTCCCGTGAAAAACACTGAGCCATTCATCCCCTTCAGTTCACACACACATACACACACACAACTCTAGGTCTCGTCACCCTGAAAACCAATGCGGAGAGAGGAGCTTGGCGGGCTGGGCTGGGTTGGGGGATGGAGGCTTGGAGGCTGACTGGTTGGAAGCGATGGATGGCTGGGGGAGGTGTGGGTAGGAGTGGATCAGAGGGCAACTCCTCCAACACCCCAACAATAGTTTGGGAAAAAAGAGGCAACGTTTCTGAGAACATGGCCCAGAAATCCTCTAATAATGGGTTTTGAGATGTCTTGCTAACTATCAGAGGTTCATCTTATTTGTGTGCTTGTTAACATGTATCTCCAAAAGTGTAAATTAAGTTTGGTGGACCATCTGGTGACCTTGAGCAGACAGACAGAGCTCAGACAGTTAAAGACTGAACATGAGCTTCTTCACCAAGAAAGCTCAGCAGAGGATGTGTTTCCTGTAGGAAGCTGAGGAAGTTCAACCTGCCAAAGTCACTGAGGATACCGTCACTCAGTCTGTCCTCTACCTCCTCCAACCTCCATCACCATCTGGTACGCTGCTGCCACAGCCGAGGACAAGAAGGGCTGCAGCGTCTGAAGTGTCAAGCCAGGTTCCATAGCTCCACAGTGCCACTGTGTTGCTATTGTAAAACCCATAATATATTATCATAAGGCAAATTTCATCAAATCTTCACCAGATTAGATTAGCACAAAATTAAAAGGATACTAATTCGTCTGTTGATATCCCATATTGTTTTCCTTACTGGTTGCATGTCCCATTTGACCTACAACAACTCAATAAAGCAAAATGGTCATAAGTCATGAGTCTGCTTATGAACAATGTTTGATATAATATTCACAGGCCTGTTCCAAGATGGTCTGACTGGCTCCCTGTCCTAAGAGCAAATCAAACCGATTGAGGCTTTGTCTCATCAAGCTGCTCAATGTAAATCTTATATATACCATCACTTTATCACTGAACACCAGAATGGGGAAGTAAATCATTACTAGCAATAAATTACAGTAATAACATCATTACTAACAACAATCCAATTACATCCTTGGATTCATCTTTGTAATCGTGGAGGAAACTAGTTTGGAAGATGGAAACATTCAGCAGCTGGAAATGTTCCAATACTTTGATCTGAACAAACAACAAACTGGATTTTAATCGTTGTAAGTTTGAATTTTGGGGAGAAAGGATACAGTTACCAATTTTGTGGGGAGTAGCAGAAAAGTAATATAACTAGTAGTGTAACTAATACTGTGGGCAGGGAGTAATAAGTAAAGTAATTATATTACTTTTGAATAGAGTAATGAGTAACAAATAACCTTTTTTGAGTATCTAGCCCAACACTGCTCAACACCAAGGTTATTACAGTGAAATAAAACTAAACAAAAAAACTAAAACTGTGTGAAAAAAACATTTTAGTTAAATAGAAAATAAAAACTAAACTTCCGGAAACGATACTGGATTCAGATAAAAACCCAAACTAACATTGAGACAAATAAAAAGAAAACTAAAACTAAACATTTTTAAACAATAAACTGAAACTAAACTGAATTGAAAACAAAAATGAAAACCAAAATTAATGAAAAGCACAAAATGACTTTGCTAAGCACTTTAATCATTGCAGTTTCTCTTTAAGCTGCCATGTTGTCAGTTTCAATTGCATTGTCAAGTGTCTTTTTCATGTTTTAAGATGTTTCATTTCGGTAGCAATGGATTGAAGACAAATCTCCTCTCTGGGACAATAAAGTTGACTCTACAAGTCTTCCAGTGTTCCAGATAGAAGAGATTAATTTATTCAGCAGAGTTGGCCAGATAAATCAGTAAACTGCTTTTTAAATAGACCTTTCCACAGCATTACATTTGAAATCACAGGTGTAACTAACAGTCACAATGACAATAGTGGCTGCTATTAGACAAACAAATGTTTTGATCTATATCCAGATCCAGATGAACTCCAACTTTTTCCTACTATTATAATAATAAATATACAGGATTATGCTCCGGCAGACTTGTGTAGCCTTTCTATAAACACAGGAGTTAATTGTGTTGTGAATGTATTTCCCCACTGATTGCTTGATTCAGAAGTCTTGATGACATTATTGGATATAACAATGATCATATCCAATAATCAATGACACGTCAGAAAAAATAACCAAGATCAAAACACTTCGTTGACAAAACAATCCCACAATTCATCAATAGATGGAATAAGAGCTGCCATTGTCTAATGGCATTAATAAAGCTCAACTTATTTGCCAACATGACCACCACAAATGTTCTCAAACAAATACAATATACGCAAAATCTGTGTTTAGATCATTAGTGAGGTAGCCTACTAGGCTCATTAAAGGATAAGTTAAGGATAAGCCGAGCGGAACCTGTTTCATTGTTCATATAGACAATATTGACTATTGACTGAACAGATATCAACCTCTGGTGGTTGTGCTCTGACAATACCTGTATTGTCCAGTAGATGGCGAACCCGTACTATTTACATTTCCCCAGGCTGGCAAAGTCATGGCCCGCCCTACTCTGCATCTGATTGCCTCTTACTCGTTGCCCTTATTGGTTTGATTGGTTAGGGACCAGGTTAGGTTACCAATCAGAGGCAGAGTAGGGCGGGCCATGACTTCACCTCCCGTCAGTGCCATCCGTTCTCATATTATAGGAACATAAATGATAGCACCTGTTCCAGTTTGGCCCCCGCAGTGTTCACCTTTTCTTGAACCCAACTGATAGTTCAAAACCAACTAACGCTACAGGAAATGCGACACAGTTCGATGTCACCGTGCATACAGAGAGTGACAGTGCATGAGGAACTAACGCGAGTCTTATCATAACAATAGGCCTACTAATATAACTGAAATCAAATTATTAAGCATGGAAAACAAATAACTACCGAGCGAGCCGCCGTTAAAAATCAAAAAGAAGAATTACAATAACGTTAATGTATATTTTTCTTCCTGCGTACACGCGCGAGTCGACGTCGTACGTGCGCGCTTCCGTGAAGCAGTGACAAAGATGGCGGCCACCGCCGGATCAGGTAAGCCGACTTCGCCGACAGTTCAGACAGTATTTTTTTCGTTGATTTTGCTAATGAGATAAAATTCCCAACATGTCATATTAGCTGCATGATAGTAATACAATTCCCAGGAGCCCAGTTGCAGTGGACGTGTGACTCTAACTGGACTCTGTGTGACGGAAAATGCTGTCATTAACGCTGCTAGCTAACGTTAGCTCATTGGCTAGCTAGGCTGGCCCGCAGTGTTTGAGCAACACTCGGCCATCTGCAGCTACACTGGTGTACCATTATGAAGCCTGCCGCTCACAGAATAGGCTCCATTAGGATTAGGTCCACAGCACAGCTCACATCTGTGCGGGGGATTGATGGGTTAGTCTGTTCGGTATCAGATTAAAAGGTAGATACATTGTTTGATTAGAGCATTCCGGAAGAAATGATCAACTGAACTCCAGCTATGTTACTGACGCGGTGTGTGACAACGTGAAAACACTGTCTGCATATATATATACTGCTTATTTAATGGTCAAACGTCCTTAACGGCATGTTCAGTTAATAGTTGACTACAACCATGTAACTGCCTATAATAGGGAACTCCTTAAAAAGAGCTGCAACGTAATAGTTCCTCACCCTTGGCTAAAGCACTGTCAGTATGGATTGTTACAGATGTGTCTTTCTCAGGATAACCCTGTTGGCATAAATGAAGCCTTTTTATATATTGATGGACTCACAACAATTTGATAAAACCATATGATTAAACAAACATATTGTCATTATTTAACAGGTGTTACAATTGTGATATGATTCACAATTAGTAGGAATTATAATTTTTGCATCACAATTTACATTTTCATTGAAAAGACCAAAAGAAATCGTGATGTGACATTTGTTGTAGAAGAGAGAACAAGATTAGTAGACCTGGGCATCTCTGCAGCACTACAGTACTACATTATAATGCTGATTGACTTCATCCAAAATACTGCAGCTTCTGCAATGTGGATACTGTTTTGATGAATTGTGCAGCCTTACTATAATCCCAATTTAGTAGTTGTGACTATTTCACCTGCGTGGTCAGTGCAGACTTCTTCAGGGTGCCACAGCATGTGTGTTTGACCATCAAGGTGTTACAGCTATTCATAGGTTACCTCAAAGTGGTCTGTATATTTACAGTCAACTTTTCCAACTATGTTTCCAGAGACATGCTGGCATCTCAGACTCAGATGGTTAGTTTAACCCATGCTGTGAACTCTGTGAAAAGAAAAGTTCAGATCCATGGGTTCGGTGACAGCATGATCATCATCTGCATTTAAATAACTTGAGCCTTGTTTCAAAACGTCTAAAAGTTCCTTTTATCTTCCAGGCTTTTGCAGCTGCATTCATTGTTTACAGCTTTTTGCCAGCACTAAACACAGTTATTATTGTCAAGAAATAATTTCCGTGCAAGAACAGAAATACTGGAAATCAACCATACGTCCTGTATGGTTGATTTCCAGTATTTCTGAGGACCTTCCTTAGGTTACGCTTGAGGATCTAATTAGTCACATAAGGTGTGGCAGGATAGGAAGAGTCATAAGCTAGGTTTCAACAATGCACATTACTCATACATCACATCTAGACTCTACACGGAATAATAATAATATCAACAATTTAATTAAACTAATAAAGCTGAGCCATTTTAGTATGGGTAGGAGGTTGATAGATGTTATGTTTGAGCAGTAATCAATGACAGATATTACTAATTTAAAAATCTATTTTTAAATAGTAAGTTATACTGCAGACATACAGGTTTTTATTTGTTTTTTTAAACATACACTTTCCTTCAGCTTAACCTAGGCACTCACCTAAGTCTGTTCAGGGAAATGAGAGCGTGTGCTCTGATTGAATGTTCAATGTGCATGTGATCAGACAGAAGTCATTTAATCATCCCCTTTTCTGTGTGTGCATGAAGCCGTCGTGGTTCCCCGCAGCTTTCGGCTGCTGGAGGAGCTGGAAGAAGGCCAAAAGGGAGGCGGAGATGGTACAGTGAGCTGGGGCCTCGCAGATGACGATGACATGACGCTAACTCACTGGAATGGCATGATCATCGGCCCCGCCAAGGTGAGCTGCTAGTTCTGCTCTGACTCATTGATTGATTAAAAATACCAGAATATGGATTTGTGCAGCAGTTAGGTGAGGAGCTGCAGGCGATGGGCACCTTTTGCAGTTTGGGTGAACCTCCCGCAAGTCATCGATGTAAACAGCACCTTTTATTGTGCTGTTGCTCTCAGTACAGCAGGATGAGTTTATGTAGATTCTGTTGCAGTGCTCTAGAAGCTCTGAGGTGGAAGAGGCAGGTTTTCCTAAGAGCCGTCATTGTGGGTGGTTGTGCTTCCTTTGGTGGAACTTGCATGGTTCAGCATATCCTCTAGAGAGTTGAGATGATGCACTACTTCTTTGTGTGGTTTAGAAGTAAAGAGAAGTGCCTGCATGCATCAGCTGGCTTGTATTTTTGCAACATTTAAAGTGGCAGCCTTCTTCCTTTACCACTGCAGTACAGACACAGATAAAGATGTGGGTAGACTGGCTGCAATGGTAGGGTGTGAGTTCCCAAGGTGACTAGAGCGTGGCTGTTTCTAAGGAGCAGCATGTCGTTTTTAGTGTGCTCAGCCTTCTCTGTGCAGCTGCATTGAAACCCTAGTTCAAATCATCCTTCCTGTTCACACAGGTGCTGCAGTTGTCAGTGGGCCTGCCACAATAATTGTGGTATCAACCAATCATACAGTATATACGCTGTGTTAATATCAGTCAAGAATATTTTAATATTTTTTTCACATTCCAATTCCAGTGTCTGAATTCTTTACATTTAAAAGTTCATTCATCTCTGAAAGGGTGTGCTTGCACTTTAACAATTCTCCTTATATTAGTTATTATTTCAGGGACAATATGTGATTCAACAAAAGTAGTTATTGTGACAGGCCTTGTGACAATTGTCAGCACTACCGGTAACTAACTGACTGTTGTGAACAGACACATAACCTACAAACTGAGCTGAGGTGCTGTGATCAGAGCTGAGATTGATTTGAATTTCTTTTGTTTATTTGGTAGGGACAAAGCATATTAATAAACATCAATATAAAGATATAAACCAGAGTCAGAGTTAGCAAGAATGCTAATTTACATCTGTAAGTCCCAGCTGACAGAAATAGAAAGATTCAAATGACAATATACAGATGTACATATAGAATATACATGTAGAAAGAGACAGAATACGTTATGTGGAGTTAAACTCAGTGTGGTTATGTCTTTGTATCTCTTGCCCTTACACACTCCCTCCACTAACAGTTGGTCATTACTAAGACGTCCTCGCTTTCTGAACCGTTGTCCTTCTGTGTTCCAAACACTTAGATTATCAGCAGTTAAACTTTGCTCTGTTGTAATCAAACTGTGGATGGTGATTTTCTGTAATGTGGTTAAAAGCTTCAGAACAAGCAGGTAAGGAGACCTTGACTGCAACTTAACTGCTGTTCCAAGGTCAAGAATGCACTGTCAAACTCAATTAACAATTGTGGGTCATCGATTGACACCACACACTAAGACTGCCCGATAAGGTAAAACACAATCACATTGCATTTATTTAAGCAGATATTAGATTGCCATATGATTTAACATATTAGTGGGAGTGGTACTTTTTGCATCACAATTTTCTTTTTTATTCTCCAAAAAAGATGATGTGACGTTTGTTGTCTGTACCAAACCAACATGTTTTCTTACATCTGGAGAACAGGATTTGTAGGCATCTCATCTCTGCAGAACTACATTACTTTATTATAATGCTAATTCTAATAATTGTCAAACACGTTACCTTTATCAAAAATGGCAGCTTCTCCCATTTGCATATTGCACTTGGCCATACTGTGATTTAGGTTAACCGTGCAGCCCTACTACACAACATTACATTTGACTCTCACTCTATAAGCTAAGCCATCATCCTTTCTTTAACTGCAGACTGTCTATGAAGGCCGGATATACAGTCTGAAAATAGAATGTGGACTCAGATACCCCGAGCATCCCCCTCTTGTCCGCTTTGTGAACAAGATCAACCTGAGCGGTGTACACAATTCAAATGGTGTGGTGAGTATTCAGATTTCACATTTTCCTGTTTCATATTCATTTCAAGTGTTTATTGGTATGTTGTGGACTGAATTAGACCAATGTGTATGCATCATTTACCAGAAACTACTCTGCTCCCAGTAGCAGCTGCTGCTGCCAGTTTAATATAAGACTTCACTAATGCTTCTCAGTGGTAGCTCTTAGTAGTAAGTTGGTAGAGAGTTATTGACCTCCCTGCTCACGTTAGAGACACTGTGATGTAGTAACTGTTCTACTCAACAGGTTGCATGTTGGCACAGAGTTTAATATGAGGAAACGACTGCTTCACTAGTAGCTTGCTTCAGCTTCATAGTTCATGTAGCCTAGAATGTGTTGTTTTGTATATAAAAATGAAGAATTAGTAAACCCTTTGCTGTACAGAATGTCTGTTTATGTAACGCTAACAGATCCTGCACTTTGTACATTTAAACAATTTATACAGACTAATCCACTGAATGAAATACCAAACAAATCAAAGTACTTTAATTGAACTGCTGTGGTTGTGCTCTGGATCAAACAAGCCATAACGTGCTTACATTTAGATTTGGTCTCAAATTTAGATTTTGAAAGCTATTATTAAGTGATTGGATTAAGGAAGTTCAGTTGGGCTTTTAAATGTGATTTGGGGAAACATTTGTATTGATCATACTGTAACAACTACAAAACAAAACGGACATGGAACCAATACTGATTTTCATTTATATCCTACGTTCTTTTTGCCAGTGTGGATGTAAAATAGGTCTTAAATGGTGAAACCTGGTGAAACCTGCTGAAACCCTGCAGTAAAGAGAAAGCTCTTAGTGCTGGGTATCCCACAGTGTTTGAATAAGATTCAGGGGCCATATTTACAAAGTATCTCATCTGACCACTCGGGCTCCTCCTGAATGGTTGCAAGGGTTCCTAGCTTATAACTTTTTCACAAAGCAGCAACTTTTAGAAAGGAAGTAAAGGAGCTGAGAGAATGGGTGGAGTTGACCCTGTTACTATTTAAAGACCATGAATGATTTTAGTCCCTGTGTCTGTAGCTCTGGGTGACTGTTAAATAAAATATTCATCCATGCACAGTTAGTGCCACAAACCTTCATATATCAAACAAAAGTAGTTTTTTTCCAATTCACCAAACATTTAATGTATACTTTATGAACAAATGGGGTGTGAAGGAGCACTTTTTGGTTTGATGGAGTAGTACAGAGTTTAACTGTTGGGGAGTTGTTTGGATCCTTATTAACCCCCAGCACCAGGAGTATGCCTTTTTCTTTGATTTATATAATACCCTGTTCCCCATCCATTCAGTCAGCCATTGTTTGTAATCTGATGCCTCAGTCTTGAGCCAGTTTTTTTCTTTAATCTTGACAAAGTACTGGTCTCTTCCATGCACAGAATATGCTTCATATTTTTCCAAAACACTGATCAACCAGATGCATTACCTGCAGCAGCTGACTGATAGTAAGCCGGTCTCAGTGACTGAAGAATGCGCTGGTCCTCCTCATTTTCTGTTTTTATTCTCAAAACAGAAACAGAAAATGGCTTATTTGCTGATTTTTGTTTTCCCATTTAAAGTGAAAATCGTTGGTCGTAAAGTACCTTGACCTGTAACGTTAGCTAGCTCAAAAATGCACCCTGTAGTTCGGTAGAAAGAATATATTTCCTACATGAAACTGCTCACAACAAGGTCAATGGCCCAATTCTTGTGTTTTGACTGCTTTAGCCTCAAAACTGCATTCCACATATTGAACCTTATTGCCATGCTGCACAATAGGTTTCTCATTGAGGCCATATGAAAAGTTCTCTCTCCTCCTCTCCTCTCAGGTGGACATAAAGGCGGTGACGGCGCTGTCCAGGTGGAAAAACTCCTACAACATCCGGATGGTGCTGCAGGAGCTCAGACAGCACATGATGATGAAAGAGAACAACAGGCTCTCCCAGCCGCCCGAAGGCCAGGTGTACAGCAACTGAGGCCCCTGCTGCTGTCCCTCCCTGTCATCTACACACACACACACACACACACACACACACACACACACACACACACACACACACACACACACACACACACACATACAGCATACTCAACACTTAACACTGACTCAACCACTTAAAAACCACACAACCATCATGTAATCCAAGACTCTCGACTCCCACTTCCTTCCTCGGGAGCCTCCCATTGGACAGAGGGAGGGATGCGCAGGTGACCTCCTCACCCAGTGCCCAGTCATCCATTTAAGTTGATGGTGCAGACCAAACAAGAATACTGTACATCTTACTAATGTTATTTTTTATTATCTTTGTGTAAAATAACAAATGACCTGATTGAGTGTACCAATTATGTGTGTGTGCGCTGGAATGTTCCCAAGAGTTGGCAGTCCCTGTTAACGTGGTGATGGATTGGAATCAACTCACCACTCAACAAATATACTTCTGTAACCCCGACTGAAAATGTTGGGATCATCGAGTTGTTTTTTTAGGCAGACATGAGAATCTTGCAGTACTCTGAAACATTCCCCTCACAGAGAATAAAAAAAGTACCTTAAATAACGCTTGGCTTGGTTTCCCGGACCACATTAGATTACTTCCACAATCCCGACGATGTGAATTTGACGGGCCTTCCTTATAAACGAGTGCATGTCCGGTACACGGGAATAAACTGCTACTAGACATTCAGCGATGTATGTATCAACAGGGCACTACTGGCTCATCACTCATGTTCTCAGACTTGTCTTCTGTGTGCCATATGGTTCATAGCGCTTTGTGATAGTGATTGATTATTAGCAGCCAGTGGGAGGGGGTGGGGGGTGGGGAGAGAGGGACGGGGGTCCTTGTGCTTTCTCTCTTCAGAGAACATAGTTTGTGTGCTTAGCACCTTTCAGGATCACCACTGTACTGTGGCCTGTGCAGAGCAGGAGGAGCTGTGATTTTTTGTTCGTATGCTGTTTTTGGGTCCATGTTTTGGTTTCTTTAGTGTCTGGGCTGACCTGTGTATACTCCATGGAGTCGTCTCTTCTCTCATGCAGTGAACGCCCACTGAACGCAATGTACGGCTTTGGATGTTTATTTTATAACGGGTTGAATCTAATCAGGGTGATGGTGACCTGTTGCATGGTTTTATTTGAATTAAACGTTATTACTTTTGCACGCCTTTGTGTCATGATTTGTCATGTGGTCTAGCAATACAACTAACTCCTGAAAACTGCTGACTTTTTACAGTAGACTTGTCACTGAGTCATTTATAACTTACAAACACCAACATTTTAATACCTTGTATTCAGCAAAATATTGCTACAAAAACTTTGTCAGTGGTTAGATTTAAGATGTTCTGAATAGGTGTTCCAATACAAACGCACTGACTTAGTCTTGTTGACGTTCCAGTATATGCACCATTGCCTCTTCATGATTGTTGTGTTGTTAGAATTGACCAAACTGACAAAAACAATTTTTTTGTGAGTACACAATATCGTTTTTGTTTATTTTAGTATATAGTTTATAGTCTAGTTTTGATTTTTAACAGACTGTAGATTTTGTCCCCCGACACTGACATTGGAAACAGATGAGGGGAACGGTGTAATGGCCACAATGAACAGGAGCAATGATTACAGAGAGCAAAAACCTGTTTCACTGTTCATATGGGTACCTAACTACAGCTTTACAACAGACTTTAGAAAGTGTGAACATATCCTCTAAACCAGTGGTTCCCAACCTGGGGGGCCAGGAAAAGAAGCCTATTTAGTATGTGTGATTGTTTAAAATTAAAAACTACATAATACAGACAGAGAATTGTATAAAAGTTCTTAAAAATATAAGAAAAAGTCATCTGTGATCAGTATTCACTAGAAATAATGTGCTCAGAATTCCTCCAAAGCCCTAATTTTACACAAAATTCCTGCAGTTAGCGTGTTCACTGTTTATAGTTTATTACAGTTATGGTTATTCATTGAATATAATATGAAGTATCCATAAAATATGTATATGTGTAATATACCCTATATTAGATTACTCAGTGATAGAAAAGGGGTCCTGTAAGGAGAAAGGTTGGGAACCACTGCTTTAAACGTACTGCAAGGAGTTTTAACTGGTTATGAAACAGTTTAATACTGATGCCTCTATATGAGCTATATGAACAAACAAGACCATCAGAGAGAAGATAATGAATAATATTTACACATTTTAGTATATTTAGTATATTAGCATTTACACAAATTTGACTCTAAAAACAGACTGACAGAAAGAATGGTCAAAATTGAAGCAGCAGGGCGAAATTTCCTCACTTTAATTTTGTAGGTCTAAAAAACACTGGATCCTACACTTCCCATAATGCAATCAACAGCATAATAGACATTTTTTATCTGACCGGTTTGAATCTTCACATATCTGTATTGCGATCTAACTGTTTCGTGATATATCTTTACATTCCTACTGGCTTTTGATTCTGATGAGTTCTTTTCTCAGATATGACCATTATAGGGCATTATGCTGTTAATAGACTGAGTTCACAATGGCAACTGTCAGTACACTTTATATACAGAATGATGAATCCAACAAACAGAAAACATAATGCCCGCTATGCAAATGTACTCTGTGTTATTCTGCATCAATAATGTGCTGTTGTGGAAACCCAAACCATACCAGAGTGTCAACATTTAGTCAATTTGTCATCTGGGCAGTGCTGTTAGCAATAATCCCACATGCTGTTTTTGCCTCTTCTTTCAGTTTCTATATTAAACTTACATGTCTTGTAAACTGTGGTGCAGTGTATACACAGGTATACCCTCTCATTTTTCAGTCGGCATTGGGTATACCCACTTATAAATCCCCTCTGATGCTCATCATTCAGTAGTGTTCTGCGGGTTGAATTTTTATCTTCCTAGGATGGCAAAGGCATAATAGTTGTCCAGTTTAATTGTCCAGTTTGGACTGGAGAAAGTGGATGCAGTGAAGAATAAGGAAGACTTGACTCAAAATGCCTGTGGGCCGGTATTGATTCTTCTGTGGCCAATGATCCTTAATCCTGGAGTCAAGCAGCAGAAGTTAAATGACATTGTGCAAAAAATAATAATACTGGACAATTTTTGGTGAGCTAAATATATAAGAGTAAGACTACTCTTATATATTTAGAAATTTGTCACTGTTTATCCTCCCTTGCGGGAAAAAATTGGGGAATAAATTAAGAGTATATACCCACTACTTCAGGCACCACTACACCACTGCTTGTATAGGTTTCTGCATTTTGCACTTTGATTCATGTTACAGGCGTAAGTGAGAGAAACCAGCAGAATAATACAGTCTCATCCATCACACTTGGAGAGGGATCAGTGGTAAAAGTAAGCTGTGGAGCTTAGCTAGAGGCCGGTGTACCCAGCACACGGCACTTCTCGTCCGTCTTGCTGGGCTGACAGCAAGATGCTTCTCTAAGCGCAACCAGACGCAGCATCCCCATTCAACAGCTGTTGTTGCTTCTATTTGCATCTCTCTGCTGCAGGGAAACAGGACAAAGAGTGGCACGTGACCTGAGCTTGGGGGGGAAAAGATTGGTGAATCAATCACAGTGGGTGATACAGCTGGGTGCCCTTCACTCCCTTACATACCCCTTAAGGACTTCCCAGGAGAGACAATGAGCTAGATGAGACGCTGTATACGACTAAACAAACTCCTGAATGCTCAGAGAGGCAAAAGAATTCGTCTGATCTTATTGATTATAAAATGAGTTAAATATGTGGATTTGGCTCAAGAGCAAAAGAGAAATGCTTGGTAAGAGTTAGACTGACACCATTAGCCTATAAAAAACAGATTTAATGAAATGATTGAGCTACGATAATGACAAGAATCCAAAAACTTTTAAATTAAAATGATCTTTTTATCATTGTTTGTTAGATTAATGTGACTGCGACCATATCAAAAGTGAACCCTGTCAGAGTTCCACATCCAGTCCTCCTAACAGCCCTAATGTCAGCTAGACAGCTTGGTCAGTGTGTGTGGGTGGGATAGGCAAAAAGAAATGGACAGGCCCTCAATCACTCTAATCTTATCTGCTGTAATGGACAAGCTTTCCATCAGCCCAACTGTATCAGAGAGTGAAAGAGAACAACATGGTGTGCCACTCAATCAGCATAACTGTATGTGAACAGCCTGGGTCTGTGTACAAACAACTAATGAGTTGATTCATAAAAGCTAAGAAACCAGTGGTTCCCTTCTGTCCTCGGACAAACCACCTATAGCTTTTATTGAGTTACATTACAATTTAGGAGTATTCAAAGAGACTCACTGAGCAATCTGCAGAAAAATTACATTAATCATTTCACCACAGGAGAATTGCACAGGCAATAAAGGAATTAACCACCCAAAATTATTTGATGCTGTCAAAAATAAGGACTCCCTCAAGTCCCAAAAGACTGTTGAAAAAAGTTGAACAAGATCCAGGAGTGTGCCTAACAGTTCTGTATGAACCCTGGTTCCCTTTGGAATAACAACCTCTTAACACATATACATTTGCAGGGATGTTCCCACAATATAATATTGTGTTTCCTCAAAATAACAACTTTGTTAAAGATATACGTGTGTGTACAGATGTACGTCCAGGGGTCTTGTTCCCAAAATATAATATCTTGTTTCCTCAGAATAAAAACCTGTTTTCACATACAGTACACTTCTAAATTGAGCTTCTTTCAGGAAAACAACCTGTTTACACACACACACACACACACACACACACACACACACACACACACACACACACAAACTATATATATATATGTTTATGGATCTTTAGCCCCATTATATAATATCTTTATCTCCCTTAGGACAACATCATGATTATACAGAGACACTGTGTGGAGATCTTGTTCCCACAAGTCAGCATTACATTGAAAATACCATATATAAGGACTCGTGTCACTGTAAAAAATTGCTCATGTATCCTGTATTTCTTGACCAGTATTTCATGATGACTGTGGATGTAACGGACATAAAGCTTTTCTGTGCCACCATTTTGCACCAGCAACAGTTCAATCATGAGTCAGAGAGAAGCCATAATGAGGAGGAAGCTATACCAGTTTTGCGACATGAATAGAATGCAATGCAAGCACAAGACAAGTTTAATTTCATTTTTTCCCCCTCGGCCGGTCTCTACACCTGTGACCGTGAACAACAAGATCAGATCCATTCTGTAGATAATGTATGAAATCAGCTGAGTGAAACAGAAGAAGACCAGAAAGTGAAACTGTATAAGAGGATCTGAGAGAATCTATCTTTCCATTTTAGGCTCTGACCTTTACTTTAAGCATTGTCATTTTTAGTGAATGGACCAAACTCGGTGCTGCACTTATCGTAAGAGCTTCACATGAATGCTTAAAATGTCAAACGAATCATACCTGTGTGTTTGGCATTGCCCAACTTTTGCCTCCAACATCCCTGATTATCATATGAAAATCTGCATTCTCACACCATCTTGATAATTAACTCCATTGGCCGGATTGCACTCCATTTGTTACATTCACATGTAAAGCACAATAGGGGGTGGGGGGTGGGGTGGGGGGGGGGGAGTGTAGACCAGTTGTGGGAGGTGTCAGATGGTCGCTGACACACACACTCCCACATCCATTCTCCTGCACGACCCGGTGTGTGTTCAGGACTGAACAGAGCAGTGTGGAGGTGCCCATCTGCTCACGGGGTCAATACCACTTTCTCCTCTCTCTTTCCCACACACACACACACACACACACACACACACACACACACACACACACACACACAATGCCGAGCGTGCCAATTAGCTAAATGAGACAGACTTTTTTCCTCAGTGTTGATTTGCATTTTTTATGGTGAGCACACGGTTTAATATTCACATTAATGGGCTAAAATAAATAAAATGCTGCTTTTAAATTAAACGGACAGAACTGATGTACAGAGATTCATACACTATGGGCCACTGGGACTGTACAATTTAGCCTCATTTATGTTCCTCATTTGTTGTTGAATGCAATATATATCTAATATGGCTTATATTTAATTTTCAGCTCATATTTAGGCTATGACTGTTGGTTTTTTCTTTGACTTTTGAAACACTTGGAACATTTAAAATTAAAGAAAGATCTCCATGGGGGAAAATGCTACAAAAGTTAGCTGTCTGGTGCAGGTGTGTT